GTGGCTGGAGAGATGGCTCAGTGATTAAGAGCACTGGCTGCCCTTGTAGAGGACCCAGGTTTGATTCCCAGCACCCACAAGGTGACCGTGAACTGTCCTTAACTCCAGTTGCAGGGGAATCCGAAGCCCTCTTCTGACCTCCAAGGCTTTGCATGACATGGGTGCACTCACATACATGCAAGCAATACATTCCTACACATAAAATTAAAATAAATAAATAAATAAAATTTTAAAAAATACTCTTGAAATGCAGAGAAGTAAGTGTCTGTGAGCTGCCCAGCCCTAAGTGACACATCTATAATACAACTTCTACACCTGAGGCTCAGGGAACATAGTGGAACAGGGGATCAAAAGAATATGAATACATCTTTCAGCTTTCACCACGAAAAAGCATCCTTATGCAACAGATGGTGGTGATTAACCTAAAGAGTTACAACTGGCCAAGTGCAGAGAGTAAGAGCAGAATTTTTATCCTGAATAGAACATTTATATCAAAAACCTCTGCCACCCAAGACTCAAGGACCATTGTTCAAGAGGGGGCAGAAACACTGTAAGAGCCAGAGGTAGAGATGACCATAAGGAAACGGTGTTTTCCAGACAGCTGGGAAGTTACTCATATGAACTTAAAGCAATGGTAACAGCATTCACAAGACCCACGCAGGCTTAAGACAGCACAGAAGTGAAGAAGCCCCAACCTTGGCTGAGGAACTATTGGCAACCAAAACTGCTGGAAAGCTGGTTTTCTTTAAAGGTGTGACTCTAGATAGGTGGACAGACTCACACTGAAGGACATCTGGCAACACAAATTTGACTCAGTAGGCCTTAATATATACAACAGAGCACATGAAATCTGGTGGGGAGCTAAGAAAGGTGTATATGGGGGTCTAAATATAAGAAAAATATATTGTATGGAATTTTCAAATCTTCAATTAAAAAATACTCTTGAATGAGAAATAAGACATACTCATGACAATCAGTAAACAAGAGAATTTTCTACTTAATCACCTATTCTGATTTGTCTTATATAATAGTTGTTTAACAAAGAAATAGGTGATTATTTTGATAAAACAGAGAACTAATCTATATCATATATGGCACAAAACAGAATAATCAAATGCTATACATTTACAGACAACTGATTTTAAATTAGAAACAGATTTTAATATTTTAATATTGGTGTGTTAGGCAGTAATTTGAGATGGAGATATCTGTAGTGTGGGGTAGAGAAGTATAAACAAACACTACTACTCAAAAGGAGAATGAGAATGAAAAGTTCACAGAACAGTATGTTCAAAAATAAGGAAAAAGAAAAAATACTCAGTAAGTAGGACTTTCATAGACCAACTCAGAAACAATAGTTACTATAAAGTAAAACTCAGCAGTGTATATTAGACATTGCAGAATAGTTGTGATATTTACAGACTACAAACAACACGGACCTTCATTCCCACACATCAGTGGTCATCCTGAATGACTTTTGAAGCTGTTTAACATTATCTATAATTAATGATATTACATGTTCACTATGTAAATATTCTCTTCCAACTTCCATCAAGATGGGAGTTTCTGAAGGACAGGGAACAACTTTTGCTAAGTTTTATTTGCAATGCTTGCTGACTAACTGAAACATGCTAAGGGTTCTACTACAAGGTCTTAGAAGCCAAGGGTAATAGCCTGAAGTTCTCCAAGGTTTGTTTTCCTCATCTATGTAGTAAGGAGACCGAAAATGATAATATCCCAGGACTTTATGATATCCTTATTAATATCAATTAGAAAACAGGTCACTAATCTCAGTGTTCTGGTACATTAATGAACTTAAAGAATTTTTAAAGCGAGTAAGTGTCTCATTTGAAGAATAAGAAACATCTGCCACTACTATCCTCAGACCTCTTGGGGTAAGTCGATAGCGCAGCTCTCCGCGCCGGGACTCCCTAAGCCACATTCACCCTTCCATCCCCCCCGCCTCGCCGTTCTATACTCCTAGTTTGAGCCCTGCGCCATTCCTAGTCTTGGGGCCCCAGACACCTGGGGAACCAATACTGCTTCCTGACTCTTCTCACCCAGAGCAACCCAGTCCCTTTCTTGGGCTTCAGGAGCACCACTTCTGGTCCTGGACCCGCCCTCACCTCTCGCTGCTTCCCTGGGCCTGCACCACCGGCTAACTCTCCTAGCCTGCACTACTATCCTCAGGCCTCTTGGGGTAAGTCGATAGCGCAGCTCTCTGCGCCGGGACTCCCTAAGCCACATTCACCCTTCCATCCCCCCCGCCTCGCCCTTCTATACTCCTAGTTTGAGCCCTGCGCCATTCCTAGTCTTGGGGCCCCAGACACCTGGGGAACCAATACTGCTTCCTGACCCTTCTCACCCAGAGCAACCCAGTCCCTTTCTTGGGCTTCAGGAGCACCACTTCTGGTCCTGGACCCGCCCTCACCTCTCGCTGCTTCCCTGGGCCTGCACCACCGGCTAACTCTCCTAGCCTGCACTACTATCCTCAGGCCTCTTGGGGTAAGTC